AAAAAAAAAAAAAAAAAGATATATTCAATACTTTAATACATCATTTTAATTGATAGCTTTTCTTCTCAGTGGTGAGAAATGCTCTAGTTATCCTCAAAATAACAAACCAGAGTTTGAACACATATATTATCATGGGTCATATGTGACTAGTTATGGTCAATGGTAGAATTAAGCAAGTATCTGATTCATTTGTCTGGGGAAGATTTCTCCATTTCTTTGGCAACAAGGAAGAAGGCCTTTATTTCTAAGCATATATGAGTTTATGATCAAAAAATAAAAACATTTATTTCATGTACTGAACAATTTGGGGGCATTTTCTCATACCTTCTTTGTATCTGTAAACATTTTGTGTATTTCAAGATAATCTTTTACTTTGTTTATAAGCATGATAAAGAATTTTGGATAATAATAAATTATTTAAGACTATAAAATGATTAACTTTATAGTTATAAGTTTTCCATACGTTTGTTTGGTGTAACAGTGTTTAATTACCTCTAGGTGGATTTTGAAGGAGGTGCATATGGATTACAAAACTTTAAGGAACAAAAGATATTAAACAATTGTGATGATATGAATGCCTTCCCCTTGCAAGATGCTGTAGGAGAAGGTCAATTTTTGTGGATGGAGATAATATCTGAAGATTTAATTTACAAAGGTAACAAAACATTATAATGCATCTTGTAGAAATTCTTCATCCCATTCAATTCACCGGGAAAAGTGGAATGAAGTGATTCTTAAGGGTAATTAGTGCCGATTATAAAAAGCCTGTATATTTCACTTAGAAGTGTGGGTTGTCCTACATGCCAGCACTACTCAACTTCTTCTACTGAAATGCTGCAAAGCATAGTGCACAAATCTAGGACACCCCACAAGAAGCACAGACTTTATTTGAATTTTCAGATAGATTATAAAAATGCATATACATCTATGTACTTTTCTATACTATTTCCATTGAGGTTATTCTACATCTAAATTATTATCATTGAAGAAAATTGACACTTCAAGAAGGTGTACCATCCCCCCACAGTGATGTTTTCCAGATGCCAGCCTTGTACTCTCTGCTTTGTTCAAAAATTCAACTGCAGACCATGAGGTAGATGCTACAGAGATGGAGGCAGTGAAGTGGTGTGATAAGACCTTCGCTATATAAGATTATTCTGTTGGTATTGTGGAAGATGGATTAGAAGTGAAATCCCAGCTGAAAAGCTATTTTCGTAGTAAAGAGAGGAT